ATAGAATAAACTATGTGTAGTCACCAAGTTCTAAGCTCAGAAAATGGACCTAGAAGTGCAAAACTTCAAAGAGAATTGTAAAATTCTGTGTTTTTCTCTCTTTTTCTTTTTCTTTTTTTGACATACTTGATTGGTGAAGATAAAATACCACACATGTCAAGCTATGCCAGTCCGGTGGCTTTGGTTATTAGCATGTAATTGTGAAAGGTGACTAGAGGCAGCGGTAGATTCATAAGTAAATGTGTAGAGTAAAGTATACGTCAGGAATATTGATTCTTCAATACTGGGAATCTAAAATTTGACACTGTATAGTACAGGAAAAGATGGTGCCCATTGTTATAGGACAATTTTTATTCAATGATTTACACAGCAGAGAAAAAATGATATGATTTCTGCCAGATAGTTAGGTATTTTATTAGAGTTAAATGCAATTAATTGTGCTGTTTTATTTTTTATTATTATTGTTTTGTCCATATTAGATAAACTAAAGTTGTTTCCTGTAGGTAGTTTCCAGTGTTTGAATACGTTTTACATATCCAAAGATTATCACTTGATAGATGCTGAGAAAGATTACTCAAATACCAGTTTTTATGCTATAAGCTTTGTTGTTCTAGCCATTGTGTGTATTAGAAAGATTTACTACAAATATTTTAGGACATTCGCAGACTTTGAGTCCATTTGCAGAGTCCCAAAGCAAGTTTGATTCTCTCTATGGGAGGTCAGTTAGGCTTTCATCTCCATGATAACAGACACTTTTTGATAGTGCTGTCTGTACATTTTATATTACACCATCCAGAACTATAATTGTGTCCTACAATGCTACACCTCCATAATCTTGTAGTACAGTGCTAGGAATGAAAAAGTGCGTGTGTGTGAATGAATGTATGTATGCATATGTGTATGTATGTATGTATAGGTATGGAAAGAGATCACAGAGGCAAATGTTTTTTTAAAGAATTATTAAAAAGAAATAGTTTCACAGTGTACGATATGTAACTTAATTGCAGTATACATTGATCAATGTATACTGCAGTCTAAAATTATTCACTCTTATTCATAATGCTTTCAGGGAATGTTTGTCTGTGTGTATGGTGTTTTTGTTTGTGCTTGCATGTGTATGCATATTTGTGTGACAGTGTGAGTATTTGCTGGTATGTTCCAGGCATAATGTTTACCTTAGAATAGTAAGGTATATTAGTAATCTAGTGTCAATTAAGGGTTGAAATATAGAAAGCCTCATCTTAAGTCATATCTCTCCTTGTGGGTCAACCTGCTAATGGCTGAGATGGGGTATCCAACATCCGTGGCCAAGTGTTCAGTATTTTATGTATATATAAAGATTATATGAAGATGACGTTATGTTAACCCTGATAGATCAGTGAAGTGTGCGTGCATGCATGTATGTGTGCTGGGATGTTTTATTGTGTCTAATAAATTGTAATTTCTTTTAATTTCAGTGATCAGTTTTGCAAACAATCTCTTATCGCATCTCATGAGTAATATTTAGATATGAAAAAAGATAATACTCTCATGTGGAAGTGATTTAATCATGTTATTCCCAAATAATATGGAAGCTATAAGTTGCAATCTTATTGTCCAATTTAGGTAGAACAGGTTGACTCTTCAATTAATTTGGTATGTAATTATCAATTTTCTTTCTTATTTATGTCTAAATAACTACAAGAGATGGGATTTCTCTTATTCTTATTTTGTAAATAGATTTTAATGAAGACTTTATTTCTGAAAGGAAGTTTTTAGGATTTTTTTTATACATATGAAAATTATTAGTATTAATAAGGGCAGAAAAATTTGTAATTGTTGTTTAAGCAGGTGTCCCTCACATAAATCTGAACATTAACTTTCATTATTGTTTCTACATAATATTCTTTATTTCTTCTCTTTATCTGAGATCAAAAGAGAAACTGGTTTTTATATTTTGTAAATAGCAATTAGATGAAGTTCATTTTAAGTTAATATCTCTCCCAGTCACAATGAATAGATGAAAAAAGGGGAAAATATATATATATATATATATGATAGTAATACATGTGGGATTTAAGAAATAACAAATTGCAGTGAAAATGAAGTTAAGGAACAAAAGCAGACTACTCCACAGTATCAAGTCTTCAAATTAGATGATCCAGAGAGCTGTTTGTTAACCTTTTTGGCTGTACCTCGCGTTGTTCTTCAGGCTAAAACTCATGGTACTAAATAGAAAGAAAAAAATCCTTCTATATGCATAACATAAAAAAAGTTACTTAGATCTTTCGTAGAGTTCACACACTGTACAGTTTTAAATGAAGTTCAGCCCCTCATCTTAGCCTAGGACCCATAGCTGTACATACTGCAATCATAAGTGGATGCAAAGGATATTACATGTTGAGAAATGTACCTCAGTAAAATGGCCAGTTGCCAAAGAGAATTTCTCCTGCATTGTAACTTTTAATGTCAGTGCTCCTTCCTGCGAAATGATATTTTTGTGATATTTGTTGATCATTTAACAACAAAAGATATAATACTGTAACTCTGAATAAATTTTTCTTTAGAAGAATGAAAATGCATAGCAGTTCAACAGCTACAAGAATGATTTATGTTAATCCACTTCAGTGAATTGTAATCTCAAACTGTGTATGTCATCCATCTCCATCTTAATAGATTCCATGGTATTATAACCAATTCCATAACTCTGTTATACTGTTTCTTCACATTATTTATTTGTACCCTATATATGCAAATATATTATTTACTTTTACAAGGGAGGATTTCTTGTATATTACAAAGACCACATACTTTGCATAGTCTTTTTAGTATTCTGAAATTTCTAATTTCTGTAGATTTGACAGTGATAAAACAACTCCTGCGAATCCTCTCTGCATTCTCTTGAGGAGAGTGTTGCAAAATATTTTGAAGCCAATTTATTCCAGTCTTCTCTTTATATAATTATATTTTTCATTATTTATGGACTAACTCTAATGTCCTGATAATCTGACAGGCTTCAGCATCAATGATCTCCTAAAGCATACAGATCTTGTTAATTACAGCTGACCCACACATGGGTTCAGTTACCTAAGAGCATATACTGGCAGTATTTACAAGTTTTTTAGGATATTTTGAAACCCTGTTACATTCTTGAGAGCCACTGTTAATACGTAGTTTAAGCGGGTCTCTCTTAGCTTATATCCTAATGATAAGCTAAACAACTAAATCTTCCCCTAAATATATTGCTTCACTTCGGTGAGTACAAACCCTGGGCTTCGACATGTGATATTAACCCGTTCCGAAAACCACCACAACAACAGGAGGTTCTTGCAGCCAATGTGTTGGGTCACGTTAAAGTTTAGAATAGAATTTTGATTATTTATTATTATGAAAAAGATGATAAAGATATGAAAATTTATTAAAAAAAATATATACACATGTCTATTCATGGATCATACGAGTTCTTTTTGAGTTTACAGAATCAAACTTTTTACAAAACGACCCAATGCAAAAAGGCAAGCAGGAGCTACCAATATATTCTGGTGGAAGTATTCTATACTATTTCTATATTCCTGTTTTCGATGTTTACATGATGTCAGTTTTCAAACAAAAGATGTATATTTTTAGGAATGAAGTTTGAAAGAAATAAAATATTATTGGGCCTCATGGGCATTATGCAATATGCTGTGTTTATTTTCAACCTTTTTCTTTTCTTTACAGTATCATACAAATTAATTTAATGCTGGTGTATGTCAATTGTTACATGATTGTAAACATCAACTGATATGACAATCTTGATAATTGCTTTTCATTCTTTCCACAAAACTATTCTGAAGTTTCCATAGGGCAGGTCATGTTCAATTCTCTAAAATGGGTATTAAACTAATGGCCTTCCTTGCTTTGCAAATGAAAAACGAAATAAAAATTGATTCACAAAGAGTTTTTATGTAACATCCGTACTCTAAAATGAGAATAACTACAAAATCATTAGATTCTACAGTAGTCAAAAATAAGATAACTCTACAAAGGTAAAGTAATTAAAATAAATAAATCCACTGAGCATTGTGGCGATGCTTTTATCTTTGAACTAGATCTATGTATTGAGTTGCCATTTTCATAAAGTATTGGAAATTTTCCAGATAAAAGTAAAGAAGAAACACTTCATGAGTACTGGAAAGTAACCCTTCCAAAATTATAAGTTTTATTAACAATATAGTTTTTGCTTTATCACACATACTTGGCAGAATTCCCTAAGTAATTATAAGCAACATTTTGTATATAATACTAAAAAATATTATACTCATCATAATAAAAATAAAGAGACTGACACTGATTACAGACCTATCAGGACAATAAAAAATCTTGAGGAAAAAACAAAAAATACAGTATTTTGAGGTGAAAAATATTTAAGGACAAAAATGTAATGTATTGAATACATACATTTTTAAAGGTGCTAATAAAAAATAAAGTCTACTTTTTAACACCCTTTTATTATGTAAAGTACATTTCCCCATAAATATCGGCTGCGTTGAGGAAATGCAAAAAATCTCATAATAATGCCTAGAAACAAAAATAAATGTCAAAATCAAATATACATTCTTATGAGCAAAACTGTTTTTAAAAAGATTGTTTTTTTTTTGCGTTAATAGATTCAATTCTGGTTATATGTTAATATAACTTACATAATTATTAAGTACAATATCTTACCCTACTATTGGTAAGTAATATCCCAAGAGTGTTATAAGGCAATAGCATTTATTTAAATATTCAGCAAAAATACACTAATCTACTTAACACAAGCACACACAGATACTAGTGTGTGAATTGGCAGTGAGTTTAGTACCCAATGATAAGTTTGGGCAAAGACTAGTTACAGATACTGGCAATACTATCATATCATAGAAATTGGTTACCATGAGACTTGAGTTGGTTAACTAAGATTAATAATGTATTTGAATCTTAATCTGAAGTTATCATCACAATTAAAATGATTTACTTCACTTTCAAAATACCAATATATTATATTTCAACTATTCTAAAATGTTAGCTGCATATATATATACAATATATAACATTTTACTCTCATGAAGGTATTTTGATAATTACATTTTGATGTTAATGTATTCATTAACAAAATAGAGAAAAATAACATACTAATTAGATGAATGTACAGTTTAACAAACAAAAACATCAACAATCACTCTAGCCTTTGTGTTACGGTCGAGTCAGATAGCAATTTCCAAGCCAGACACTTGTTAAAGTATTAATGAACTCGCAGACGGCAGCATTGTTGTCAAATGACATCTCTCCTACTTTGAATTCGGGGTTTATTGCCAGCTGAAAACCATTTCAAAATCTTGTTGTTAACAGCATTAGAAAATATAATAAGCTAAAAATAATGTAATACTTCCTTGTGACATCACTGGAACAATCATCTTTGATAATTGTTCCATGACTTTTTAAAAAAGATATAACATGATTTCATCAAGGAGAAAAAAGTTATGACAAAAATCACAAAACTTACATATTTTACACAAAGTTGTAGTCATGCATTAGATGAAGTAAGATCTGAACATAATGTATAATGCACAGTGGAGTGGAAAATATAATTGAGAATCTACATCATCAATAACATAAACATCAATATATTTTCTTTAGATCTTTTTTAGTTCCTGAGATTCTATGCCTGCTTTTCAAATACATAGTACATGATATGAATAAGATCAATAAAGCATTCACAGCTACTTAATAATAAATATTCATGTATATGTAAGGATAGTCTAATAATTAGTCTAAATGAGAGTGATATGTGTTGTTCACCTTACAAACACTAGGAAATGACAGATGGAGAAGATATAACAATTGATATTCAATGTGAATACCAAAGTGAATCAAGCTGAAGAAGTAACATAAATAGCCATAACTTTTTAGATTTAGAAGCACTCTCTTTCTGCTAGACAAACACACTGATTGTAGTAAAGGCACAGAATCCAGTGGGTTAGCTGTGCAGTTCACTTGGTTTCTCCAATGTGGGAAAACAGACTGTAAAAAGATTCAACAACAGAGCCATGACCTCCATCACAAATGCCTCAGGGAACCAAAAGCATTAGTAACAGATATTGCCTCATGCATTGTGAATCTCAGAGACCAGCGGATGCTGTAATTATTGGAAAAAGTGGTCTCTGTCTGAGGTGCTGCGTTTGAGATAGCATCAAGGCCGGGCGAGAGAACAATTGCCGACCCATGCAGTAGTCTCCGAATATATGAGTTCACACAAGCCGCGTTGTTATCGAAGGACATCTCTCCCACCTTGAACTCTGGGTTTACTGCTAACTGTAAGGACAGGTGTTGGCAATACATTTGGGACTGAGTCTTTGGAAAATCATATCTGTTTATTGAAGCTAAATTTCATGCAAACATTTCTTTTCTTTAATATCTGAAAAACTGGTGATAATATATATACCTAACACAGATTTTGGATTTAGATTTTGTTATCAAAATGGTAACTCAAAACATTTCCTATTAAATTTTTAACTATACCCTGAGCAATAAAACAAAGCATATAAAGCAATTGTAATGAAAATCATGCACATAAAAAATAACTTTTCTCCAATACCAATTTTGTGCATCCATTCCCGTCTTGTTTTTGCTTAAATATGTACAGTATATGTTTTAACCTTATAAATAAAATCAGGAAATATCATGCGCTCAATGTCAAAGCAAAACATTTCATAAACTAGTTACTTAGGGGACTTAATATCATAATCTCTTTACGAGTGACTGTTCACAAGTTTAAAGACCAAAATGAATGACTTAAATTAAGCCAGTTAGGACACAAATATTACCTACCCACTGTGGTTAAAGCAGTAATGTAATGAATATATCAAATTAAGAATTTCCTTCTTTTGCTACATATAATACAAATCAGTATGAAAATATTCATATGACTGAAAGAACCCTTCTTGTGCCAGTTACAGTAAGGTATTATCAAGATTCAGACATCATGAAGACAAAAAAAGATTTACAAATGAAATTCATTTAATGTATTTAATACAGTACAATAAATTATGCCTCCTATAAAGTATCAAAGATTCTATTGTTGGAAATTTATTTTACTGGTATTCTTATTGAATGTATTTGATCCTTTAAAAATGAATAGCAGCTAAATAGATTGTGACTATAATATTTTTAGGTCCCATTAATATCTAGTTCAATAGATAGAGAAATTGTTTCACAAAGAAAAAAATCTAAAAAAAAAAAAAAATCACCACTGACTTACCTTAAAAGTATAAGTGCCTGGCTTGATGTCAGTGATGTCAATCCACTGGCAGTCAATGTTGTACGCATAGGTGTCTGTGCAACCAGGACTAATGCCCTGGTCACCAAAGTTGGCACACTTGAAGACTGGTTCTACCCCAGGAACACAGTTGTTATCTTCCAGACAGAAAGAAGCTTTGTGCCCCTCGGCCACCCTGTTTCCATCTGCGTCTATGACATCGTAGTGAGCGAACACTTCCATACTATGATAGTGCCTGAAGTATGAGGAGACTATAAGCATACCTTACATCTAACCTTGTTTTATTTTGAGTAACCTAACTGGCATGAAGACATACATAGGTATGTGATATTCATGGTCTGAAAATGGATCACACACTTGCATATGTTTTCTATGAAGATAAAAGAAAATCTAATTAGTATGGTTTAAGTGATTTTTAAAAAATATACATAAATAGCTTTTCATTACAGCTACAAGTCTAAGATTTTCTAGCACAACTAACCAACTTACTGTTCAGTAACTAGGAGTAAGTTACCTCTATATGAATCTACAAGTTTTTCCCAGCAAATACACATCTACTGAACACTCACATGTGACAGGCATGCCATTCCCAATACTGCTTTGGAAGGATGGGACGGAATGCCTCAGTTCCCTGGTTGACTATACGTGCTGTGAAACGAAGAAGACGTCTCGTGTCCAGATGCCAACCATAGCCAGTTTCCTGTTGAGCAAATCTTGTAAATAATATTTGCATCTGATTAAACGTCACAAAAATCCTAGATTAAAGTACAGCTGTCATATTGCTCATATTCTTTGAACTCTTATCTTTTACTAATAATATACTTTTATCATACAGTAGCATACCATGCATTCCACATTCATAACTATCTTTTTTAGAGAGCATGTACTTCTCCAAAAGAAAAATAAATAAGGAAGGGCAGACTCTTGATTATAATAGTTGTTATATACTTATCATGAATGTTCTCAGTAACATTACCTGTACTTTGACTGCAGATTGTGCAAGGCAATTTTCCTCCATTGCACACTGTAGGAAAAATAGCTGCTTATCCTCCAAGTGTGCAGAACGAGCCAGCTCCATGTGATCGGGAACCAGGTCAGCTATTTCTGTAATTTTATGTCTGAGTCTTTGTCTGTCTTTATTAACATTCTTTCATATCATATATTAGGAAAAATTTGCCTTTTTTAAGTTTTTGTTATAAGTATCTTCTCTTGGTAATATCAGGTACATAAAGTATTTGCCATTTTTTCACCAAATAAATTAAATAAATTCACCAATTCATTAAACATCACACAGGACATCATCACTTACTGGACACACAAGTAACTCCAGCGATGTTGGGGTCTGAGCCTGGATGTGGGCAAAATACTTCTCCTACGTCTTCGTGAAGGCACTGGTCAAGATTTTCTTCATTGCCATGGCACTTGATGCCACTTATAACCACGTTACTCATATTTCCTCCGAAATAACCTGGAAGGGGCAGAAAGTCAAGCCAAATGGTAAAAAGAGCAGATTATTTTCTTGTAATATTAATATTATTACTGACTCTATGGGTATATCTGTTATGCAATTGACAATGTGTATTCAACGTGTATGCATAAAAAAAGAAAAAAATACACAGAAAGATATACACTTTCACCCAAATACCTGTTGATAAGGCTGCCTGGGCATAGTGCATCCCCAGCTGCCGACACGCCACCATGCCCTCCAAAAGGCTCCATCCATCGCCACAAATGAGTCCCCAAGTGCCATTGCTTCCAGGGAGCATGACCTCTACACGGCCCTCCTGGTCCGACCGCCCTCCGATTAGTCTCAGCTTCGTCTTGCCCTCAATGGCATGCTGGAAGAAAGAGGAGATGGGGTGGTGGTGGTTACGGGTTTTTACAGGTTACTGAGCCATGGAATTCATAACTTCTGCAGTGTTTTGGATAGACCTTGTTTTGGATTGCCGAGTAATTGCATTCGCTTCTATCTTAGCCTTAAATCATTCTCGTGAATGGTCGCTCTCAGGTGGTGTCATATAATTTGCATTCTTCAAACGGGTCTATAGTCCGTGACACCATAGCTTTCCATTGATAACATGTAATCAACCTTGGATTTGCCACGCAAATAATATTCGCACATTAAAGAACAGTGCTCGCTCTCTCTCTTCCACATTTTCCCCTCCTCCCTTACCTTCCTTCCATCATTTTCCATTCC